TTCATTCTCATGGGATTCATTGACTTCTCTGTGAAACCGATCCATGTCCTTACTAAATAACGTCATTGTGGGTGGCTGGCTGAGTGCTTTCTCATCCCGGGAACTAGTGAACAAACGAGGGTGTGACAAGCTCATGAAGTAAAACGCTGCCCATAGACGTTCCTTTTTTCCTTTCCTTTCCTCCTCCCTATGAGGTTCTTGTTTCTAAAATAAAATATTTCAAAATAAACATTTTCCATAAAAAATTTTGAGCATTTTATGGTATGTAGATTGTACATAAAATGGTAAGTGTTGGATTCAAAGTATGATATGCATGAGAAGCATATTTTAATATATATCTAAATAGGTAGATTAATGAATTGAGATAATAAATACACAATGAAAACAAGCATTGTGGGGGCTGGAGAGATGGCTAAGAGGTTAAGAGCACTGACTGCTCTTCCAAAGGTCCTAAGTTCAATTCCCAGCAACCACAGGTTGGCTCACAATCATCTATAATGAGATCCAGTGTCCTCTTCTGGCATGTAAGCACACATGCAGGCAGAATACTGCATAAATAATAAAATAAATCTTAAAAACTTTAAAAAACAACCATTATAAGATGTCGGTGAGAAAGAGCAGGTGGTGGTAGGTGTGTCCTCACTGCCTTGCATTTAAAATATTTGAATAAAATATGAAGTGCGAAAGGAACCCAACACAAAGATCTGACGTTCCAGACACCATTTTACTCAATTGCCTCTTTTTTCTGTTGGCTACAGAATTCATCTTTAGCCCTTAAAAATCACTTCCTGTCTCCTCCCATAGATGTTAACATCCTTCAACCAGTTGTGAGCACTTTCCAGGATAAAGATCATTTTCCCCCTCATTTTTCTCCCTGTTCTCGAATACAATTAAGCTCTAAATTCAAATTTTCAGTTTACAGTGTCTCACTGAATTCAGACTTTCTTAATGCTGAGTGAGTGTCTCAAATACTACTGATCATTTCCATAGAGAGTAAAAGCAGTCTCCTAAGAAACAATTTGCATGAAACTTTAAAAAGATGTCTTCAGACATTGTCTATAGAAGGGTCCTAACGGAGGACAGAATTGGAATTGGGGCACCTTGCAAGTATAGGTTTTCAACCTCTGAATTCCAGCCTTGCTTCCTCTCGGTGTGCATGCCAACAACTTGGAACCAGTTTCGGATATGCTCAGTGCCTTCAGTGTCTCAGAGAACCCAGAACTTATTCTAAAGTGCATGTTAAAATCGCCAGCTATCACTTGGCAGAAATCTTCCACCATTCTTGTCCATTTTCCATTTTCTTGTAACTAATTTATCTTGGAAGATTCCCCAGAGTGAAATTGCTTATGATTAGATGTCTCACAGGGGGTTCATTAACTTCTTTTCCTGATGGGTATACTAGTGGCCTTTTAGTAACATTTACCTTAAGATTTTTTTTCTGATAATGTAATTGTAGCTAAGACACAGCATTCTTGAGCTTCAATTATCTGTCTATGGGTTGGATTAGTTGTAAACTATCTTCAGAGGATTCTAGATCACCAGGAAGGAGTATAAGCTTTCCAGTTAAGTTTATAAGTTTGTAAGCTTTCCCGAGCCTTTAGTTGACCACACTACCTGTCAGAAGGACTGAAGTCCACAATCTCAGCGATTGTTTTATAACCACAAATCATGGAATGCCTGTCTGTTGGGCATCATTTAAATTCAGGTGCCTGCAGAGCATCATTTAAATTCAACCAGCCCCACAGAGACTGATCCCTTATTTTGTAGCTCGGGGTACGAAAGCTCAGGTGTGTTAGTGAGTGCTGAAGGGCAACCCCAGCAGCCAAAGGCAGGTTCATCTGCTCCTTAAATCCTGTGACTCTGCCCCATCAGGAAAGCTGCTGGACAATCCCCACTATATACTACTATACAGTCTTCAGCCTGGCTATCTGCCTCATTCTTGTCTTTAGTATCACTTTATTGCTTTCTTCAACTATGTATTTTTATATTTTTGTAATTTTAACGAGATGCCTAGAACCCTTTTAAAGATTTATAACCTATTGACATATAAAGAAAGAGAGAAAAAAAGCACTTTTAGTTAACGTTAGCAAACATTACTTGCTTTCAATGGTCACACGTTTCTTTTCTGGTACACACGCTGCTTTTGAAATAACTAAGGCGAGCTACGAACCTTCAACGGCCTCTGAGTGCTGGGGCCATCTATTGACTGCCCTGCTCTCCCAGTAGTTGGATGCTGCAACTGGGTGCTCAGGAAGCTGAGGCAGAATTGTGAGTCTGAGGCAAGCGTGCCAGTCAGTGTTGCCAGGACCCAGAACCAGCTGAGGTGTAAGTCTCCAGCACACTTTCGGATTATTTAGGTGAGGTCAGCCTCAGGGTGTGCCTGTGAGGGCTTCTCTAGATGAGGCTGCCTGAGGTAGGAAGACCCATCCCAGAGAAGGTGCCCCAGTCCCTGTGGTTGGGTCTTGGTAGCCCCTCCCAGTTTTTTTTGTTGAGTGTATTATCACAGCAACAAGAGAAGGACCGAAGGCAGCAACTCTGGTGTTCCTGTCTTCCACAGCAACAAAACAGCAGATCAACAGCTGGAAATCTTGTTATTCTAATTCGGAAGTTATTCTAATTCAGAAGTTATTATTTACATTAGAAGGTTCCGGCGATGGACCAGTTAGATGGGGCAAGTGGGTTAAGGCCCTTGCTGAAAAAGTCCAGAATCTACCTAAAGGTAGAAGGAAAGAGCTAACTCCACAAAGTTGTTCCCTGACCTCAACACTTTCCTTTCTTCATGCACACACACACACATGCACCAAAAAAATTAAGGAGTTGCTCTGTGGCACATGCCATCTTTTTTTCCAGATGGCTCACATTCACTGTGGTAACACAGACCTGGGACCACCTTCTGCCCCTCCGGTTTCAAGTGATTTACGTGGGGGCCAGCATGGAACACTCCTTTTCCCCCTGTCCTGTGCCCCCGTCCTGTGGTTCTATGTGGGGTCAGGATACCATGTTTTGTAAGCAGATCATTTTCTCACGTAGATATGCTTCTGTTGTTGATTTTAACGTTTCCTTCCCTGCCTTAAAAGTCATGTCAGTCAAATTCTCCAATGATTTGGCACAATGAGAGATCCTGGGTTTACGGTACAGACAGAGGAGAGAGAAGAGAGCAGGAACCGCTCCACTCGTTTCCACATTTAAATGAGTGCAGCTCAGGGGGTCATGCAGCATAAGGGTAAGCATTCTCCAAATGCTCTTCATTTCAAATGTACGCGCGTGTCTAGCTAGGTGTGGTGGTGCAAGCCTACAATCCCAGCATTTGGGAGTTTAGAGTTCGGCCTAAGCCACATAGTTCAAGGGCACGTTCAAGGGCAACATGGGCCACACAGAGAGACACAGCCTCCAAACCAAACGTGTGTTTAATCCCGGTGTTCATAAGGGAGGTGCTGCTGGGTCTTTCTGAGTTTGAAGCTAGCTATGACTACATAGTGAGACCCTGCCTCAGAAAACAAGCAGATAAAAGCAAACAACAGCAAACCTGCCCCTCCCCCCACAAACACAAATCAACAAGATCCCAAAACAACCAAAACTCACATTAGATATACTTAAGGAAAAGGCTGGGGCAGACCAACTGCTTGAAACCAGTCAAGCTGACGAGAAGGGGTTTAGACCAACTGAGGAGCCTGGGAAGGACACTCTCCCACCTGTTCAGTTGTCTTCAGGCTGTGCAGTGTGCCCAGGATCCCAGCTGTGTAAGCTATCATCCATGCTGGGGTGGGCTTTGGCGATACAACTGCTTTGAGTCATTTCTGCTCCTGTAAGTAACCCCTCACTTACACTTCTTTAAGTAATCCCAGTAAAACTCATTAATTAAAAAAACAAAACAAAACAAAAAAACTGGGGCAAAGGTTTCTTGCTTTAGTTTTTGCTTGTTTTTTATATTACATTAACTCTTTCAACTAGGATGGTTTTCTTTTGTTATCTAAGTATTCCAGGGGAATGGATCCAGATTCCTTATATAAAACCACAGAGATTTGTATATTTTTCCCGTAGATTTTTAACTTTTAGGTTACTTAAGATCACTAATTACCATACAATACTTTTTTGCATAGATTCACTAGAGTACTCAGAGCAAAGCCTTTTAGAACATTCTAGAATTATCATCATCTTTTTATACCCTGTTTTGGTCTATGATCTGTGGCTCGTGGTATCGCTATAAATGTGGAATCAATGGATATGGAATGCCAACTGTAGTGCAGTTTTCTGATAGATATTTTTCTTTCAGGGGTTCAGCTGAATTTATGAGTGCAAGTGTGCCTGGCACATAGACTGTTCTATGTGTAATCAGAATATCTGGGGCTGGGAGGACCCCTTAGAAGAGGGAACATTGTTAATGAAAGTAACAGGCAAGTTGAATTTCCTGAGACAAAACAGTCCAGGGACTCTGCCTCAATATTTTCTCACGTCCTTCATATTTATAAGTTTTTCTAAGCAAATAAATGTATTACTGTAATTCAGGTTCCGACTTTCATTTGTTGTCAAACTAGAATGCCTGGTGAATGTGAGGTGACAACTGTCCTAGCAAAGACAGAGAGATACTCAATGATGACACTTTAGAGGAGTAAATGTAACACTTCTATTAGAGTTCGTCCAACCTGGGCTCAAGAAGTCCAGATAGAGAACACCGATGAAGATGAGCAAGAGGCTATGAAAATCCTCAGGCACTCTTCATAAGGAAGATCTTACCTTGCCATCTCTCTGGCATCTTCACTGAAGTCTCTTCACACTGTGTTACTTGGGCAATTTGAACCTTCCTCCCTGAGGTTAAGAGGGAGGTAATTCAGTGTAACACAGAGCTGTCCTGGCTTTGAGGCCTTAAGCTCTGGGAAAAGGGAAGCCAACATTTAACTGCTGAAGCATCCTCTACCATAGGACGAACTGCCTGTCAGAACCAATCACCTCATGAGTTACTGTCATTGTTTGGTTATAAAAATGTACACATTTTGAGACAATTGTTACTAAACTTAGTTTTATTGTAATCTGTTCTTTTTAATGAAAATTATGCAGAATGCCTTGTTTTTAGGAGCTTGTATTTCTGCGTTACATTAAAATTCAGTACTTGAATTTATGGATTACAATGACAGTATAGAAAGTATAGAATATTACAATTAACAGCTTCACAGGGATTTGAAGAAGTGATTCAGGACAGACGAGGTTGACAGGGCTGAGTGAGCTCACCGATGCTCTAAAGAACAGCACCTCTTAGAGTCATCTTAACTGCGCGGTACAGAGGTGGAGGTTCAGTTGTGTGGCAGAGGCCTTGCCTAGCAAGCTGAGTCCAGCGTTGGGTCCCCAGCATCCAACCGCTAGCCAATTGCGTGATACCTTGGTCAATACTAGTTTAGAGAAACAGAAGTTAACTTTCCATTTTCGAGAACCAACGTGCCATCATCCATGAGGTTTTGCAGTTGAATAACAGGAAACTGTACTTGTTTTTCAAGCCATTTGGCAACTGCCAGAAGTTGTTGGTCATAAAATGCACGTCCAATTAACTGCAGTCCTATTGGCAAGCCTTGGCTTGAGAGGGCCATGGGGACATTCACTGCTGGCAAGCCTGAGGAAGAGAAAGAAATCATCAGTTGAATTCTCCTTCCCTGTGCTTACACATAAAGAGAGAATAAGGCTCAAAACAAACTATGAAGCCACATGTGGGGGCACATGCCTTTAGTCCCAGTACTCAGGAGGAGAGGCAGGAGTTATCTCTGTGAGTTTGAGGTCAGCCTAGTCTACATAGTGAGTTCTAGGACAGCCAGGACTATGCATATAAATCCATCTCAAAAAAAAAAAAAAAAAAAAAAAAGGAAAAGAAAGAACCCCCAAATCCCCAAAACCAGGGTAAATCTACCTCCATACTTGGCACCATGCTTTATCCATATAATAATTCATATGGAGTCACTGTGTGTCAGTTTACAGAGACATCATTTCCTCTTTATACCTGTACTTTATGCAACCAGTCTTCTACAAAGGGCACTTGGGTAGTGTTCAATGCTTAGCTATTTTTTTTTTCCTTTTCGTTTTTCAGAGACAGGGTTTCTCTGTGTAGCCTTGGCTGTCTGTCCTGGACTCACTTTGTAGAATAGGCTGGCCTTGAACTCACAGAGATCCGCCTGCCTCTGCCTCCTGGAGTGCTGGGATCACAGGAGTATGCCACTATGACTTATAATGCTTAGCTATTTTACACAGTGCCTCATAGACACATTTTCTGTTATTCTTGAGCTCTTGGGTAAAGCATGATTACTTCATGAAATGACTACTGGGTGTGTAATAAAGAGTGCCCCTGAAGGAAGTTTTACCTTCCTTCACACCAGCAGAATACACACCAGCAGAACAAGAGCTGCTTCTCCCACAGCCTGGGCAACAGCGTGTGGCTATGGTTATGAATCTGACAATCCATGAGTAAGAAATTGCTCATAGGAGTCAGAATTCTAGGTTTGGGGCAAGAAAGTACAAGACCCTGAAACACCTTGCTCTGCCATACAAAATAATTTTCAAATTTAAAAGCAGTCGGGTGTAAATGATGCACTGAAGTTGATAACCGGCCAGTGTTTAGACAATCTGAACATCAAAGGCTATAATGATAGTAATGGCTTGTAAGATATCACTTTTTTGTTTTTGAAGAAAAGGAAATCTCATTTAGAGACAGCTTCTAGCTAATAGATGTGGTATGACAGAGAAATCAACTTTTTTTTTTTTTTTTAATTTTCAGGCTAACAATTCAAGGATTATCAATGGATAATAAAATTGGGTTCCAGATAAATGGGGAATAAAACAGTCACACAATCCCAAAGTGCCATTTGAAGGAAGATCTTAAGGGAAGGGGGAGTAGGAGGAGGGAAGCTGGGGGGGAAGGGATGTGAGAGGGGATAAGAGGGATGGGGGGAAACTAACACTAAGGTAAACTTCCTGATAACGTATATACACATGAAGGCTTAAATGGAGTTACCCTTAGTGCGGGATGATCTTCCTCCCAGAAGCCATGGACTGCCAAATAAAAGCCCTGTGACAACTGTAGTGTACCTTCCCTTGAACTGTTGGTCCCCAAAACAGTGCAGGCTGTTGCCACTGCTTTTTATTGCCTGCAGAACTTGATGGTAAGACTTTGCTGCTGAAGAGACCACACACGCTGGCCACAGTGTGAAAATGTCAAAGAATAAACAAAAAATGTTATGCATGTATATATCTCCGTCCCACAATGTAATGGTTAATTGTATGTCAACTTGCCACAAGCCAGAGTTATCAAGAGGAGGCAGCCTCAACTGAGAAAATGCCTCCATAAATCCTGCCTGCAGGCAAGCCTGCAGGGCATTTTCTTAGTGATAAATGGGGGCGGGCCCAGCCATTGTGGGAGGTGCCATCCCTGGGCTGGGGGTCCTGAGTTCTATAAGAAAGCAGGCTGAGCAAGTCATGAGGAGCAAGCCAGTAAGCAGCACCCCTCATGGCCTCTGCATCAGCTCCTGTCCTGCTTGAGTTTCTGTTCTGACTGCTGTTGATGATGATGATGATGATGATGATGATGATGATGATGATGATGTGGAAGAGTAAGCCACTTTCCTCTACACCTTTTTTTTTTGGGTCATGTTTCATCATGGCAGCAGCAGAAGCCCTAACTAAAGCACACAAATTGCTCAGGAATGATCTGGCAGCTAGCTTCTTTCTTTCTTTGTATCTCGGTGTTGGCCCTAGCCTTGCATTGGGTCTGAGACAAGGGCTGCTGCTCACTGCTGGGTATTCAGTGACGCCTGGGGAGTGTCCAGTCTCTGCTTCCCATTGGGGCACTGGGGTTACAGATGCACACCACTGCAGCCAGCTCCGTGCGGGTGCTGGGTCTCTGAAGTCTGGTCTTTGTGCCCATGCAGCCAGTGCTCTACCACCGAGCCATCCCCTCAGCCCCATGAGCTATTTTCCTAAGCAAACAACTTACATTTCCAAAGTGGGACAGATGCTTGCAACTGCTTCCTGATGTAAGAAGGAGCTTCCTACTAAAAATGTTTATTTGACCCAATTACAAGGAAGTAGTCAGGAAATCAAGCATGCAGCCTGAACTCTTCAGGAAAGTATCATTTAGGAGAAAATGTTGAAGAGGTGGGAACTTCCCACAGAGAGTGAGGGTCTGGGGAAAAGTGGCTCAGCAGGCTTCCTTTTCTAGGTAAAATAACTTTAGCTGAACATAGAAAAATGGCTTTATCACATGTGCCATTACACTTTGCCCCGATTCAGCCGTTCCTTTTCTGACCCCCAGTGAAGCACCGCTCCCTATGCGACCCAAGCCCTGAGACTCAAGGTGAGCACATTTTCTTCAAGTGTCATAAGATAAAGAACAATCAAACCAGAACCCTTAGCCCAGCAAGAACACCTTTAAAGGAGAAACAAGACATTGACCTAAGGAAAGCTTAGAGAACTTGTTGCCAGCTGACCTACCCTGAAAGACAGGTAGAAGAATGTCTACCTTTAAACATGGAAAAAATAATAAAAGAAAACCTGGGTCTCCTCTAGCAACAGAGTAAAAGCAGAAAACAGACATGAGGTAAACCTCAGAGTCTCCTGACCGAAACGCAGCCTGGTGTAGTTCTACAAACAGTAACAGATACATTGAGGTGATCGCTACAAACCTTAAAAAAGATAATAAACAACAGATATCAGGGCAAACCAACATTAAAAGATTTTTGGCACTGCTGAGAAAATATGAAGATGAACTGTACTTAGATTATTTGGGCGCTCATATTAGTTTTCTCAGACGTGACAATGGAACTGTGTTTAGGAAGGAGAGTCCTTGTTCTCAGATTTGTGCTAAATTACTCAGCTGTAAAATGTCAAGTCTGAATACAGAGAGGTTGGGTGGGGTTGGGGGCATGTGTAGAAAGACAGAAAGAGAAGGAAGTGGATGTAAGATTTAACAGGATGGATCAGGGTAAGGGTGTATACACAGCAGGCACACATATCCTCCACAGTGTTCTAGAAGGGGAGGGCACTGTTTTCAGGAACTGAACTGGAGACCGGGGAGTCTTTCTCAAACTTCGGAGAAAACCACATCCTCAAGGACTCTCTACCTGCCATATTTACAGGCTGTGTGAAAATGTCATCCTGGGCACTGCGCGTCCTGTTGTCTTCCTTGATGAACTCCGAGTATGGGACAGCCTCACTCAGGGTCGTGGGGGTCAGGAGGACATCCACTCCAGAGTCAAAAACGTCCATGAAATCCTTCACAATGAGACGCCTCACTTTCTGTGCTTTGACAAAATAATTCTCATAATTTCTGTGGAAAAATACAAAAATATCTTAAAAGATTTTCTCTGCTTCTGCTTTTAAGGCAAATCTCTTACATTAGGTTATTAAAGAGCCACTGAATCCACAGCTTTATGATCAGGGACCACTAAGACCATTATTGGACCATTATTGCAATTTTACCCAATAACCGCAAAAAAATGCTGTCCAGTAGGGATATCACTAAGCCAGAACATTCTTTTCCAGTGAGATACACGGTGTAAGTTGCTTTTAGGTACAGTAGTAATGGAAGTTTTGTTATGTAAATGCTTTTGCCTTAACTGTCTCTTGAGGGTGTGGCTTTTGCCAGTTGGTAATGGCCTTCCACTTGGGGCAGGGAGAGGGGCGTGGTTGAGGGCTCTGAGAGTAGAAATAAGAGAGCTGAGAAAGAGAAGGTGTGGCAGTCTGTGTTGGCGTGTGGCATGGAGCAGTTTGGAGAGCCCAGAGACCGACAGTGTGGTGGTTTGGAGTGGGCAGACAGGGAGGAAAGCTTCGGGGTGCAGCGGGGTGCAGGAGACTGCTGCTGGCCGCGTCTGCAGTTGGTGGAGATTGGTACAGAGCCCTAAAAGACCCATTGACCCTCAATAGCCAGGAGAAGTAAGAGGCCCTCTTTCCCCAATAACTTTCTCTCTCCTAAGTAGGGGTGGAAGGGAGGCTGAGGCCTAAACACCCCGGATAAAGCAGAGTGTAAAATGAACGTTACACACAGTAGATGAAAACTTGGGCCCAGGGGCTTTTGCAACTTTCTATCACCACATCTCAGGCTACAGTGTAATGATAACTGCCTCACATCAGCCGGAATCAGACAGTCGGGAGCAGTCCTGGAAGCAGCTTCCAGAAAGAGAAACAAGGAAAGGAGGCAGTGTCGCAGCTCTGTATTTTATGAGCAGTCTAGGAGGGCAGAGGGAAAGTTAAAGGAAGGGTGCTCAAACACTATTAGCAGATTAGGAGAGAGCCAGACACAGACTTAGCCACGAATCACTGATGCAGAGAGAGGGAAGAAGAAAATCCCTCAGCTTCCCCTGAAGCTGCTTTGATGCTCTAGGCTCCTCAGGTGTAAAGCTAGACATGACAACAACTCCGGTACCACTGAGAACTAACTGCAAGATAAAAATATGACTTTTCTTTCTTTTCCCCTATGGAAACATCACATGTCCTTCCTACACCATCTGGCCAACGGGCTCGACAGATGCAGATGAAGGTGTCCTCCACTACTGCTTTCTACATAGTCCTTTGTGGAGCGGTCTTTCCCTGCAAATCCCAGTGATCCTCCTGTCTCCACCCCCGTCATATCTGGGGTTTACACATGCACAGGATGCCCAGTTTGTAAGTAGGAGCTGGGCTCTGAACTCTGCTCTTCATTATTATGGAGCAAGAACTCCTTACCACTAAACTATCTTTCCAGCTCCTTATCCTTTATTGTTGTTACTGTTCTTTATTCATTTGCTTGTTAATAGGATCTCATGGCCAAGGCTACCTTTGAAGTCACTATGCAACCAACGATGAACTTGAACTTCTACTCTTCCTGCCTCTACTTCCCCAGTAATGGGATTACAAGGATGCACTACCACAATATCGATGTTGGGCATCAAACCTGCTGCCTCAGACATCTAGGCAAGTACTCTACTATCTGAGCCAGTAAGTACTGAGATAAAGATTTTAAGGTTTCACTGTGAGCCTCAGCATCTCTTTTGAGGTGCTGCTGGGTAGAGCCTCTCAGACGACAACTCTGTCAGAAAAGAGAAAAGGACCTGGTGGTGACAGGAGCTCTACAAAAAGACCAACAGAGCCAACTAACCAGGGCCCAGAGGGGCTTGCTGAGATTGAAGCATCAACCAAGGACCATACAGGAACTGGACCTAGGCCCTTACAAAGATGTAGCAGTTAGACACCTTAGAATTCATGTGGGTTCCCTACCAAGGGAACTGGGGACTGCATCAGACATGGACTCACTTGCCAGCTTTTTAATTACTTCACCACTTGATGACCTAGAGTGGACAGGAAAGGAAGCTCTCCTTTTCTGAGGAAAAGGGAATAGGGGAGGGGGAGAAGGGGAAGAGAAATGGGGCTACCATAAGGATATAAAGTGAATTTAAAAAAAGAAAAGAAAAGAAAAAAGAAAAATAAGCTTGAGGAGAAAAGTATTGTTTTCCTTTGAGACCAAGAATTTTGACAAACGTAATGTTTTGGCTATTGCTATGACATGATGAAGGGGATATTTTGTAAAATGATAAAGCTATAGTGGCAATGGTTTATTTTCGTTGAGTATAAACTAGAAGCAAAGATATTGATAATGAGATTATTGCCTTTGCCTTTCTGCTGCTAATATGAAATATTCTTGCTTAGTGTCTGCTTAATATCAGTTTCAAAATTGGAATTTACTTGTCATAGCATGCTCTAGGAGAGTACTAAATAAAGGCAAATGTCTATTTAAAAAATTTTAAGGTTCAAGAACAGCAAAACTTTATAAATATAAAATTTTAAGGTTTTCAAGAATAGCAAAAATTATTAGATATAAAAATTTTAAGGTTTCAAGAAAAGCAACAATTCTTAAAGAAACTGACTTACTCTTTTAATAAGAAAAAGTTTCCTGAGAGAATTCTTCCTCTCACCACATCATTGAATCCCTCTTGTCTGGTTGCAGCATACATGGCTTCAGTGGACGCATCAATGTTTGACCTATGACCTGAGCACAGAGATAAACATTACTCAAGAAAGGATTAAAGGCTTGGCTATAAAACAGCACTGTGAACAATATGGATCTCAGAGAGCTTTCCTGTCCAAGTTCTTATTTGTTTGTGATTGACTGACCACTTAGTTATTAGGACTAACCAGAGAAAAAAGAATAACCATGAAAGAACTTGATGTCATCCATCCATTCATCTATCCGTCTACCTATCCGATGGTCGGTCTGTCTGTCTGTCTGTCCATCTGTTTGTTCATCCATGCATACTTTGACTGAGCTCTACCTTATCAGACACTACATAGGTTGGGCTGTGCACACAGACAATCCCTTCAAGATTTTTCCTTCAGTCCAAAGAACCAAACATAAAACAGAGGTATGATGACTACATAAGTTCAATATTAAAATAATAGAGGAAAAATGATTTCCTGATTTCCCGAATCATTATAATAACTATAGGTGAACCTTTCAAATGTTTGAGGTATCTTAAGCACCCCCAGAGCAGCCATCTTACCATATTGTAGCCCATCAAATCTTGCCATATTCGATGCCACTTCTGATGTGCACAACACATGGTAGCAGACAATTGAGTAGCAGGTGTGTGGCAGGGAGACTTCAATCACTTTGGCTCCCTCAGACTCAAAGAGGTCAGCAGCTTGGGACCAGAGAGACCGAACTTCACTTGACAATTCTGGTACCAGATATTCCTTAGAGAAAACAACAGACACAGAAACTGGAACGTCTAGACTGACTCGTAAACATCTGTATACTAAAATCTTTGGCAGTACACTAAAACACTGATAATACAGTTGGTAGGTGCCTAGGAAGACGGGACTGGAAGTGTTGGTGGCATGCGAGCGAGTGCAGTCCTGAGCAGCGTTAGCTGGATGTGACAGTGTAAACTTTGTGATCTGATGGGACGCAGCTGCTGTGTTCACTACGCAGCAAATGCCGGGCTGACACTTTCAGAGGGTCTCTCAGCTTTTCACAACCATTGCATGGGCAACAACATCCCTCAGTTTACAGATGAAAAGCAGGGAGAATAGGGAAGTGAAGTAGCATTCCTAATGCTGCACATCACACCAACATAGGATCTAGGACTATACTAGGTTCACTTCTAAAGCCCAGGTTTACCTTGTTCTTTAAAGAAGGCACAGAGTGTCACCTTGGCGAATGTCTTTTTAAAAGCATCAGTTCTCTATAGTGGGGGAATGTCTGTAGATGCAGTGATTGTAGGGTTGTAGAGGTAATGAGTGCCATAGCAGAGGGGTGGAGGCCAGGAATCTGGTAAACATTCTGTGATGCAAAAGATGGTTTTCCAACATAGAAAGAACCTTCTAGAATAAGATATCAATGGTGCCAAAATTAAGAAGTCTCATTATTCTGCAGGGTAACTTATTCTCTTTTAAAAATATTTCTAAAATATATTAAATATTACTATGTCGTCAGGTATATAATTGGCTAAGGCGGTACACACCTGTAATCTTAGCGATTGAGAGACAGAAGCAGGAGGGTAACTGCGTGGGAAGTCAGTCTGGGTTCGGCAGTGAGGAGCACCCATGTCACTAGAGCTTGGTTCCCGGGACCCGCATCAGGCGTCTCACCAGCACCTGTAACTCCAGCTCCAGGGCTCTGAAGTCTCTGGCTTTATGGGCACTTTTATATCCACGTGCAGACACACTCACCCACATGTGCTTTACAATAATAAAAGGGACTGGAGAGATGGCCCAGCAGTTAAGGACACTGGATGCTCCTCCAAAGGAAAGAGTTCAACTCCTAGCACCCAGGTCGGACACTCATAACCATCTATAACTTAAGCTCCAAGGGATATGACGCCCTCCTATGGCCTCCATAAGTACAACATACACACACACGGCACCAAATATGCATGGAGCAAAATATCCACTCACATACAAAGTTCTTTTTAAATTAAAATCTAAACAAAACCCCACAAAACATGCATACACAGACGCATGGGCACACACACAGGTTTGATATTTTTTTACTTTAAAGTGTCAGTAATTTATTACTTACGTGGATAGGTTATTAATTGCTATTGTAATAAGTACAGTCTAAATGCAATAATAAAAATAAATGCAATAACATATAATGGGTCCTTGCTAAAGAAGGTATGCATATGCTCTTTGCATCAGGGATCAGCAAACTGTGACCACAGGCAAGATATCATAGTTTTTCACTTTTGAAAATAAAATTTTACTGGTATACAGACATATTTCTTTATTTACATATTGCCTGTGGCTGCTTTTGCACTCTGATAGCCCAGATCTATGATCTATAAAGCCCAAAACAGTATCTCTTTCTTTCCAAGGAAAGTTTACAGACCCTTGTTTACCCTTGTTTTATAGGATAATTAAACTCAATCCTCACAGCTCTCTGGGTCTGTATCTTATCCCCTATTTCACAAATGGAGACACTGGGCTTAGGGGGGAGTAGTCATATGCTTAAGTCCACACGGCCAGTAAAAGTGGTGGACCAGAGACGCAAACCCACCAGATTACCTCCTACTTCTGTGCTCTGCATTTGACTTGCCAGATTTTCTGAGTAACGGAAGTTACCTTTGGAATTCCTACACACAGTCTGCTCACATCCATTGCGTTGGGAGTCATGAATGGCTTAACAGGGTCTTGCACTGTGGTGGAATCTTTGGGGTCATGTCCAGCCAGTACACCTGCAAGGAGAAATCCTTATGTGGGGCAGACATATTGTTTACAGTGAGACTTTCAAATAGTATGTAACCACAGAAATACCTAACACGATTGCTGCATCATCCACACATCTGGTAAATATTCCTGGCACATCCATTGAATTCACCAGGGGAATGAGGCCATGACGGGAAACTAAGCCATAACTTGGTTTGAAACCAACAATCCCACAATGGGCAGCAGGGTTTCTTGTGGATCCGCCAGTATCTGATCCTAGCGCCCTGGGATTGAAAAGAGAATTCTTTTCAGAGAAACGACATTCTTTAATTGCACTGAGAGCCTACCGTGTAAGAGTGCACTTCCCATTAATCATATAGGGTAATCTATACTCATTTCAAAGGATTGAAATGGTACAGAAAAGCACAAAGACTCAGCAAGAAACACTGTTAGCATTTTGACAGACTCAACCCTCCTTCCTGCCTCTGCCTCCTGAGTTCTGGGTTATGAGCATGTACTGTGCCTGGCCTTTCAAATGTTTGTAAAAAATGTGTTTTTCTTTTTTGGGGAGCATTTTAATCTTACGTTTCCATCCTTGTTTGCTTATAATCACCTACCAAAAAAATCACCTATATAAAAAAAATGGAGAATATACAGAAATATTTAAAATTTTAAAATTTTAAAGATTTAAAAATAAGTCACGTAAAAATAAGCAGTATGCTTTCACAAACTAAACACTGTCGGGGGCTGGAGAGTTGGCTCAGCAGTTAAGAGCACTATCTGTTCTTCTAGAGGTCCTGAGTTCAATTCCCAGCAACCACGTTGTAGCTGTACCACCTATACTGGGATCTGATGGCCTCTTCTTCATGCAGGTATACATGTAGATAGAACACTCATATACATAAAATAAATAAATAAATCTTTAAAAAAAACCACAAAAAACTAAACACTGTCCCCAGAAATCCAGACACCACCCCATTGTGCTCCTACTCGGAGTCACAGCTAGAGATGTACTATAATTTACACAGGCAGTTACACTGCTTTCATCTGGCAGGAGAACTTCTAGTGAACCTTTGTTGATAAACAGCTTCACACATAAATCTCTGCTCCTGTTTGAGTGCTTTTACATTCTGGCTTCTAAGAAACAAGGCTAATGAACAAAAAGGTCTGTTTGTTATTATAAATTCTTAACCTATATGATCAAAACTTGCTGCAGATCAGAACAACTTGTATATTTATTTATAGTGAACTGTGTTTTAATGTTTGAGCATTATCACTGAGTTTCTAAAAATTTGATTAATCTGATTTAAAAAATAGTTCTTAAATATTCACATTGAAAAACTGTTCATTACCCAACAAAGTAAATGCTCATTTCAAGCCTAGAGAATATGTGCTATTCTTATTAAAAAACAAAAAGCAACAACAAAGACTAAAATCTAGGGGAAAAGAGTAACACGAAGGACACTGTGCTAAGTAAAGCAAGCCAGTCACAAGACAGCTCATGTAGGAAGCACATGCAAAAAGTATCGACAGCAGTCAAATCCACAGACAGCAAGGAGAAGGCTGCCAGACACTGGGGGCTGCGGAGAGGCTAATAAATGCTGACCTTCAGTTTTCTGAGATGAAAAAAAAATATTCTGCAGATTAAGTGCAAGATTACATACGCATAGTTTACCACAACTGGAAGTTTAAACAATTATTTAAAAACAACGTTGTTGGATAGTACCTGCCTAATACAACGTTAAAGTATTGAACAATTATATGATAGAGAAGTAAAAATTCTCTTACTGCAGCACCCATAATAGCCCTGTTACAGACTTCCTTTTTTTTTTTTTTTTTTACTTATTATGTATACAGTGTTCTGCCTGCATGTGTGCCTGCAGGCCAGAAGGGGGCACCAGATCTCATCATGTGGTTGCTGGGAATTGAACTCAGGACCTTTGGAAGAGCAGCCGGTGTGCTTGACCTCTGAGCCATCTCTCCAGCCCCCCAGTTACACGCTTTCATCCAGACACCCTCCTATATGACTGACACCCATGTCCCAGTAATAATTGCTCAGCAGGAGCTGTATATCCTGTCCCTAACTTGTTTTCATTCAATGCACCTTGAATAACTTCCCACATCGCTCTCTAGTGCCATGTCTCATTCTTTCTATGTGGCTCAAGAACCTGCTTATGTAAAAACTATAATAAAACAAATGAAGACAGAAGCAGACTCTTTACAGTTAAGTTACAGTCAGTCTGAAGTTACCTTGGGTTGGTGCTTCTCCTGGTAAAATCTACCGATTATATTGAAAGTATTGCTTCGGACGGAGTAATGTGCCTAACAATAACATGCCTCTTGCGCTCTACAGAAAATGCAAATTGTATTTCCTTTCTCACCAAGTCCATTTAAGCTACAAAGTCAGTCTGTTGCCTTCATAATTTTAAAAAGATACTGTCTCTTATTAGCATTCACTGACGGCTGTGTAGAGGTAAAACCTACATTTCCATAGGAATTATGTGTCAAAATGCCATCTTCTCAAAGTAGATTCAGAAAGATGAACAGTAAGTGGGATGATGAGGGTAGAAAAAAACGCACCTGATCCTGCACTTCTAACCTGTCAGAACGCTCATTAATATTAATGCAATGCTGTAACGCTCGGAGATAAAGGAAATGCCGTTTCTTCTTAACAAGATTTCAGGAATATGAAAATGAAAAGTCTGAGGAAACTACAGCTCCGTTGTTCTGAAATATGTAAATAAATTACTGGTTGCAATGCCTTGAGAGAGTGTAGTCTCAGTGGATAATTAGAGAGAAAATATATACATACTATATTACTGAGAAAAAACATTCAACTTACTTAAATTGAGAACGATAAATATTTATTCACTATTCTTTAGGTGGTTAAGAATGTTTGACAGGTCAGACACATGCCGGTGGGCTCAGCACTCAGGAGCTGTAACAAGAGGATCGGAGGTTCGAGGCCACTGCTGGCCACACAGTGGGAGTGATGCCAACCTGGGCTGTAAATGAGACCTCACTTCAGACACCAGTTCTCTCTAGAAAAAGGAGATGCTCTTAAAAGCGGGACTTAAAACATGGCTGGAGGGCTCTTATCAGCGCATGACAGATAATCAGCCCCTAAGACGGCTGAAAAGCTCTGCTTAGGGAGACACTTCCAGTTGCTGATTTATGGAAACACTGTTTTAAATATCTCGTTGGTACACTACGGGATTTTTTTTTTTTCTTTTTAGAGATTTTCTGAAGGCTGAATCACCATGACCAGCTCATCAGCAATGAACTGAAGCACTCTGTCATTTACATACTGAACAGATGCCAGAATAAATTATTAAAAAATAAGATGCATGCAGTCTATTCATGTTCAATGTTTTATTTGGCGAGATCCACAAAGCCATGTTTTAAAAGAGTCGGAGACTACAGAAGAAAAGTTGAAATGTTATTTTAAATTAACTTTAACGTACAAAGTTCCCATGGTAGGCCGCAGTTGAGTACACACGGACATCATTTCAATACACCCTTAAGCATAAACAGCTCACCAAAAGGAAAAGGAGATGGCAGGGTCTGACTCCCTGAGCTGCGGGGCTCTGCGTGTGGCGTGGCATATGTGCTGGGTGGGGTTTAGAGCCGACAGAAAGCGTCTTACGCAAAGCAGGTGAACGCCGCCACGGCGGCCGCGCTGCCGCCCGAGCTCCCTCCAGCTATCAGCCAGCCCGAGTCTGGCCGCTCACCGCGCTGCCTCCTTTCTCTGTGTTGCTTTGAGTAACTCCAGGGGTTCTTGACTGGTCCAAACACACCGTCTGTGCTTCCGGATCTGAGATGGAGAAGCAGAGCACTACCTTAGAAAAACGTCCTCTCGTGTCGCCAGGGACACTCACGGGACTTTTCTTAGGCGACTGTAGCTTGAGATGGAAAGGGCTGAGACTATCACGTGCAGCTCTTAATCAGGCAGCCAAGGAGTGGGCTATGGACGTAAGTTTGTGGTGGAAGTGAAGAAAATTACTAAGGGAAGAAGATTTCTCCCAGTTGATTATCCAAATCAGTTAGATGATTTCCCTTGTAAGCTGAGATCTTTCAGTTGAAAAGACAAACATTCAGACAATTAGGAAATCTTTTAAAGGAATTGCCCCCTTAATCAGAAGTCTCAAGAAAAGCACCCGTGTGGTAGCTCACACCTGTAATCTTGGCACTTAGCTGGCTGAGGCAGGAAGGAACTCCAGGCAAGCCTGGGCTACAGTGAAACCTGTCTTAAACCCCAAAACTCAAAGCAAAACAAAACAAAACAAAAAAAAACCCAACAACATCCAAACCAAAAACAAACAACAAACAAACAAAACAAAACAAAACAAAAAAGAGAGAAAAAGGGATGAGGAGACAGTCAGTGTGTAAGGGCACTGCTGTGCAACCATGAGGGCCTTCATTTGAATTCTTAACACCCCATAAGAAAGCCAGCCTTGGTCACACGCCTGTCATCTCAGCATTTTGGGTTGAGCAGGCATAGACAGGCGGACCCCAGGACCTTGCTGGCCAGCCAGCCCAGCCTAAAGGATAAACTTGAGGTTCACTAAAGGATTTTCTATAGGGAGTAAGATGGAGTATGGTAGAGAAAGACGTCTAATACCTCTACATGTGCTGCAAGGGTACATGTACCGCATTTCCATGCATACATGTTACACACACACACACGTACACACACAAACACACACACAGAAAGAAAGAGCTTGAGACTGAAGACAACTACCATGTGGAATGTTATTAATTTATTTTCTAAATATGTGAAGTTTTATTCTCAAGGCGAACTGAAAATCTAAGTAAGCCCTTTACTTAGCTGTATCTCTTGGTGACATTTGCCTCACTGTTTGCACACTGTGTTATGTACGTGACCACACACATTTTTTCCTGAACCAGTTAAAGTAAGTTATGCATATTGTGGTCCTTTTCTCTAAATAGTTCAGGATGCACTCAGTATTCAATTCCTAAGAATAAGGGCATTCGGTTATATGGTCAGAGTATATTTATCAATCATTACAAAATTAATGCCAACATTTTATATAATTCAATCTTGTCAGCTGGTTTAATATGCACTTTACAGTAGCATATGTGCTTTCAGGATAAAGTACAGAATCAGGTCTTGTATTTAGTTACCATTCTTTCTCACTTTTCAATAGCAGTATTATCTCTAATTAGCATATACTAATTACACATAATATTGAGTTTCATTGTGATACCCCTGTTCATATATGTACACAACATATTTAGATCAGATTCACCCTGCTATCCTTTCTCTTTTATTAATTTATATTTAAATCAGGTCTTCTGTGTAGTCCAGCCTGACCTCTCATCCTTAAGCAGCTAAAGACAGTGGGTTATTTCCAGTTTGGGGCAATTTCGGACAAAGCCGGCACAAATTGTTCTGAAAGGCCCTATCCAGCACCGTGTACAAATCAAAGTCCCATCTCATGGATAAAGGACTGAAAGTACTAGGTCCCAAGACGAGCCTAGGTCTAACTATAAGAAACTAGCAGCCAGGTCCAGTGGTGCGCACCTGCGGTCCCTACACTGGGAGGATGAGGCAGGACAGTGAGTCTGAGGCCAGCTTGGGCAACAGAGACCCTCTCTGCTGGAGATACAGAGAATGTTTCTGAAAGAGCTGTACAGTTTGCATCCCCAACCTGCGACAAGTGAGAAATACAGTTTCTCTCCACCCTTGTCAGTATTCGATAGTATCTATCATTTTTGTTAAGTCATTCTGATAAATGTATGCATCTTACTGTGGTTGTAATTTTCATTTCCCTGATAATGATATTAAGTGCTTTTCATACATTTATTTGTTAATCGTACATCATCTTTGGTGAAATGCCTGCTTTAATATTTGCCCATTAAAAAGAAAATCATGTAATTGGAAAATGGCTCAGTGGTTCAGAATGCTTCCTGTTCCTCCAGGGGGCAAGCGGCCAGTTCCCAGCACCCACACCAGGGGCTCACAACCACCCACAACTCCAGCTCCAGGGGACCTGACCTCCTCTTCTGGGCTCCATGGGTAACCATACATATGGCACATACACAAATAATAATAAATCTTGAGTTTGGTTCCTGGTATGTCCACTCTGCTCCAATGGATGGCCCCACTCCCAGATGTATACAGGAAGTTCAAATTGGACTCAACAGCTAATTAGAGAGAGAGAAGAAAGGAAGTTGTGGAGGTAGGAAAGGGGATGGCTCTTGATCTGAGAGGATTTAGGGGGGAACGAGACATAAATAGGATCAAAATTCACAGTAAAAAACTCTCAAGGATAAGAAAATATTAGAAATTATAACTCTAAAATTAAAACATTAAAGAGTATATAAAAAGCAGCATGCTAGGAATGAGAATGCACAGTTGGAATGCCACAGGGCACTGCTTCAAGAGACTGAGAACTAACTTGGGCTTCAAAGCATGACACACAGAGTTGGGCATTAGCACGTCATTTTGATGTTCCCCTCTCTGTCAGATAGCAAGGCATTCGCCGAGTGAAAGTGTGTCAAATAGGAACTGGAGAGCACTGACTTACAGTTGTCAAAACTGCATCTGGCCAGGGGTGGGGGCTGGGTATGGACTGGATATTCATGACCCAAGGATCTGGCTTGATTCTTGGAAGAGGCTGTGTGCTCAAGAATTTGGGACCAAGGAGTGTGGCCATTCAGTTGGACCACAGGAAAATAGTGTGGGGAAATCACCGTTCATTTCAGGAATGTCTGTACCACTTATATCCCAAATATGTAATCTCTGGCAAAGCTATGTACTGTACCTTTTGAAAAAGATATTTATGAATGAAAAGAAAGTGCGGTGCCCTTATTTCAGGAGTTTTTGTTATCTGTTTTTCAATAAATATTTAAAGTTAAAAACCAATCAAGGTGGCGATGGCTCCTTGAGTAACAGTATACACACACACACATTTTTAAGCTGAGCTGTTTACCTTTACACTGAGTTATATATGTATATATCTGGTTTTCTGAGACAAGCTTTCTCTGTGTAGTCCTGGTTGCCCTAGAACTCACTCTGTAGATCGAGCTGGCTCTGAACTCACAGAGATCTGCCTGCCTGGGCACCAGGAGTGCTGGGATCAAAGGCGTGGGCCAACGAACCAACCAAAGCTCTCTATATTTTACATACAGTTCTTTCTCGGATTTATGTTTTGGACGTTTCTTTTTCATTTTGAGGAAGCACATTTCAAAAGTTCTTAGCTTTATTCAAGACCAACCTACCAGTTTAAAAAATAGATTTGTATTATTTTGTATTCTAGCAGGAAAATCCTTGCCTCAATCAAGGTCACAAAAATTTTTTTTTTACAGGTTTTTCTAAATTCTATCATTTTATAGTCTTTACATCCTTTGACCTTTTACTGCGGAACATTTTCATAGCATCTTTTTGTTTTTATGAAAACAATTTCAATAGAATACTTCTTGATTTTGACTTACTATCCATTTCCTTGTTATTAGATGTAGGTTCTGATTTTTCAGCTGTTAGAGGTAATGGCGAGCCCTCAAAGAACCACACTGTAGCAATACTAAGGCTACTTTCACCCCTTCAGCCATGTTAATTTTGATCAGCTGAGAAAAGAAAAATATCCTAAAAGTCCATGTTCAAGTTTACTCCTATGCTCATTAAACATGTACTCAGAGAGGCCACGGTCAACATGACAGTCAAAGGGCTGTCTCTAGAAAACATGAATGCTGATTAACAAATATATAGGTGTGAAAAGAATCATAAAGAGGAGAAAATCTAAAGTACTTTTGGTGAGTGACTATTTTCCTCCCCCGACAGCAGGGAAAAGGCAAGCTATCCATTTTACACCTGTCTCCTCTTGCATGTTTAATTACTAACATATGCACATGACTGCAGATGACCACAGAGGCCTTCTAGAAGTGGGTGTTGCGTCACCTGAAGCTGAAGATCGTTGGTGTGGTTACTGAGAACTGAGCTCAGGCCCTCTACAAGAACAGGAAGCCATGTTAACTGCTGAGCCATCTCTCTACATCTCTATTCTACTTCTTCAACACTGTATTAACAATCTTAACTGGTTCAATAAGGCAGAATGTAGATAAAAAATAAGAAATAAAGCCAGATGCAGTCATGCATGTCTATAATCTCAGAAACTGGAGAGGCAGAGGCAGGGAGATCTCTGAGTTTGAGGCCAGCCTGGTCTACAAAGAGAGTCTAGGACAGCCAAGGCTACACAGAGAAAACCTGTCTCAAAAAGAAAAAACAAACAAACAAAACAAATAAACAACAAAAAAGAAATAAGGAATAAATATGTCTGTGTTATCTACTCAAAATATTTCAAAGGATCTATAAAGATCAATTAGAACTAACAAATGAAGTTTAACAAGGTGATGGGACAGGAAGGCAATATAGAAAAATCAGTTATACTTTTATGCATTTGCTATAAATAATTAGAAACTGATAAACTATAGCACAAAATAAGCTATGGACTGGACTGTGGCTTGCGGGCTAAGTCTCAATCCAATCCCCAGTTACCCACATGGTAGAAGGAAAGAAGACTCCCCAAGTTGTCCTTTGAACTCTACCTGTACATTTCCAACCTCGCAAAATAGATTAATTCTTGTAATTAAAAAACATAAATCACATAAGCTCTATAGAAAGTTTACATCAAAAAAATCTTAAAACTATTGCTGAGAAAAGATAAAAAATCTCAGCACACACTCATGGTATTTGTGAATTAGAAGACACAGACAGATGCCAGTTCAAAAGCAGCTGCTCCTAAAACACACACGGAGAATGGGGCTGCAGTGTGTTCACTCAGAGGACTGTCACTACCAGTGTCAGGTCCTCGCACAAGTTTACTTGTGTTTTCAGAGAACAAGGACAAGCCTGTCTTGTCTAAATGGCGCTGGAACAAAAATGTCCACATGTAACCCAAACTTTATGCACACCATATACAAAAACCTTAAACAGTATGGGTGGCATAGCTAAGTGTAAGCGCTAAGTCTATAAAACTGGGAGAAAACCCCGTCATTTTGGTCTGGATAAGGATTACTGGAAGTATTAATAGATCAACATGAAGCACGAATCATGAAGAAAAAATGATGAGCTGGACTTCATTGACATAAAAATTTCAACTCTTTAAAAGGCAGTCAGTGTGGTAGGTAGTGCGATAGGCCTGACTATCAGGGATCTAGAACCACTGAGGAAACAGGCCTCTGAGGGTTTCTGGACTGGGTAACAAGCTGGAAGACAAAATGCTAAGTGCGGGCGTACTCACTTACACCACTTCAGGGGCCGGGGCTCCTAACCAAGTCAAGAAAGAGCTTGCTGAGCAGCGGCATGCATTGCTCTCTGCCTCCTGACTGCATGGGCCAAGCGACCTAAGCCTCAGGCTCCCGCGACCATGTATCCCCAAACTGTAGGCTAAAATTAGCCCTTCTTTCCTTGCGGCGATTTGTCAGTTATCTGCTCACAGCAAAGAGAATGAAAAGATAAGCCAACAACTTTGAGAACAGATTTGCAAGCCACCTATCTGACACCAGACTTAGATGAAGAATATATGAAAGAACTCTTATAACTCAAGAAACGAATTTACAAAGGATTTGGACAGACAGTTCACTGAAGATTCACCAATGGCAACATGAGCACATGAAAAAGTACTTAAGATCATTACTCAACAGGGAACGATGTTCTAAAACCCAAAAAGTGTATCGACAGACCCGTTAGGCAGCTGATTGCAACCTCACACTGGGATGAAGACCCTGACGTCAGAAACCTCAAGAAGCAGCTGCAGCAGCGGTTTAGCAGCTCAGAGCACGTGCTCGGCACCCACAGTGCACAGCGCTCAACTGCCTGCAACCCCAGCTCCAAGGGACCCGGGGACCTGACCTCCACTGTCACTTGCACGTGTATCATTCACTGTCACAGACACACACATACAAAAAAAAATAATACAAGTAAATATCCCTAAAACGAATCCTCAGGGAGTAACCGTGCTACCTTTTGCTATCTCCATGCAATGGAATTAAAGGCACAGATGTTAAATCAAGAGTGAGTTACGGTTCATTTTACTTACCCCATAGCAAACTCATCTAAGTTTGTTTTCCCCATGAGTAGAGCTCCCTGATCCAACAACTTCTGAACGACTGTAGCGTTGTAAGGTGGTATATAACCTGAAGAACAGGATTTTTATTATGTGAGAGAAAACCAAGACTAGGAAGCATGATTTTAAGTTTAGCCAAGTAATTGCATACGGAGTATAAATTATTCTTAATTTAAATAGCAGGTTGTACTTTCTTCTGAGAGTTAATTTTTTCCTGCCAACTGTCTACTTTTGCAGACACTTATTACATCATTCACTGTTTTTACAATCTGAAAACACTGACCAAGAGTACTATAAAATGTTGGATGGTAAGATAGACCTAATTCATTTGACATTACCTCCATATCCTTACGCTCTAAAGTTTTTTTCTTCCTCTTTGATAATGTTTTATCATATAGGAATTTTTATGGATTTTTTGGTTAGATCCATAAAAATTTAATGGAGGTAGAGGCGAGGGGATCTTTGTGATTTTGAGTCCAGTGTAGATGACACAGGAAATTCAGGCCAGTCAGGGCTCCCTGGTGAGACGCTGTCCTCCACCAACAACAACCCACATACAGATTGAAAAAAAAAAACAAAAAAACCCTCTAGCTTGTCTTTCAAAACACTCCAGCCCACCTAATGAAAGGAATCATAGACTGCCACTTGCAGTGTGCAGCACCTTTTCTTTTTCCACCTCTTCTTCCTATCAGGGTCCAAGTATTTGGATAAACATTCTTGTTTTCAGCCTGAGAGGTTAGAGAAGAACACTGAGGACTATTTCCTACACAGCTCTAAGAGATGGTGAGTAGATGCTGTTGGATTCTCAGCGTCCACAGGAGGGGTGATGCCAGCCAGTGCTGAGTAATCCTGAAAAGGTTCCTAACCTTTGCAAGCAGCGCTCATTCCTGGGGCCGGCCAGTGCTGTAGCAATGAGCAAGCAGTGAAGGGCAATGGTCTAGCCTAAGTATGTCTAGGATACATAACTATCTCAGGTTATCTTGAAGTGTCAGTATTTTGTCTTTAACATGAAAAACACTTTTTTTTTTTTTTGGACAGGGTTTTCCTGTGTAGCCTTGGCTGTCCTAGACTCACTTTGTAGACCAGGTTGGCTTTGAACTCACAGAGATTGGCCTACCTCTGACTCCCAAATGATAAAATTAAAAGCGTGTGCTACCATCTACAGGCCCAAACCACCCACTTTTATGAAAGTATTAAAGCTGTAATCAGTTAGACTTTACCTTTTAGCATATTTGATGCACATGTTGTCTTAATGCCAGCTGTGCTGAAGTTGTCTTTTACAGCAACAGGAATTCCATCTAACTCTCCAAGAGGCTGACCTGCATTTAATAGACACAGGTAGGGAGGCGGTGGAAAGACGGCTCAGCAGTAAGAGTGCTAGCACTACATGCCCCGAGTCCGGATCCCAGCACGGCCACAGGACACATGCCTGCCTGTAACCCCAGTGCTGCGAGAGGTGAGGACAGGATGGTCATTCTGGCTTGCTGGCCTCCACCCTAGCTCCAGGTTCAGAGATTCAAGAGACCAAACACACACACACACACACACACACACCACACAGAAACAGACATACCCATATGCAGAGAGAGCTCCAAACTTCCGAAATCAAGTTCACACTGGAAATTATCACAGATAGGCATTATATAGTATTTATACTAAATACCTCAGGACACATTCTTTAAACACGGGCTTGCTTTAAGATTAAAGCTTTACTTAATGAAAAAACTGGGACACCCAATTAAGCTGTTCCTCTAGAGACAGAACAATGAAACACAAGGGCACACAGGTTACATTTACCTTGCTTGTATCTTCTCTCAGATTCTTCAGCTTGCTTTAGGGCCGCCTCTTCTGATACAGTAATGTAAGCGTTTAGACACTTCGTTTTCTTGATGAGGGAGAGACATTTCTTGCAGAGCTCTGTTGGTGTAACCTGGCCCTGTTTCAGTGCTGTGGAAACCTACAACACAGACAATTCAAAACCCTTTTACAGATTCTGTATAAGTCCAAATCTTGTATTGAGGGAGCTGCAAGGAACAGAGTATGGGAACCAAATATAGAGGTGAGGCTTAGAGTCACAATCCAGAGCACTCCCCACACCCTACGCTTGGATAGGGCAGTAAGCAAAGGCCAGTACTGACCAGCTAGAGGATGGGCATGGTGGGGACCAATCTCCTGCTTACTTGACTAACTTTATTTCTAATCCGGCTTGGGCAAGCAACAACAACAGTTTAGGTGAGCCCATCCAGGCCTGAAGCAGCTGAGCCTGGTACAGGACGGGTAGAAAGAGCAGGTTCAGGAAGTAGCTACTGTAACCCAAGGGGTACACAGTGAAAAAAGAGTAGCACTTTATGGCACTGAAAAAGATCTTTATATCTACTGGGGCTTTCAGATGAGATACACAAGGTGCTCAGAAAAGTGCACATACATGTGATACATATACACACATATGTATCTTATATAAACTCAGACTTTCTGCCTTTTTGTGTGGTAAGAAGGCTGTTGGACAAAGGGTTAAAATGCATGTGCAGTGGGGGTACAGCGATGGCTCAGCATTAAGGGCTTGTACTGCTCTGGCAGAACACTCGAGTTTGGTTCCCAGTACCCATATCAGGTAGGCCACAACTGCCTCTAACTCCAAGTCTGGGGAAGCCAGTGTCTCTGTTCTTCCAAACACCTGTTTTTGTTCCTACCTATCCTGTACTAGAGTCCGTGGGGAAGGACAGGTAGGCACGTGTCCTCTTGGTCCTCTGTGTCTCTTTCCCCTTCTCTCAAAAGTCCCAGGTCATCTGAAGCATGTCTTCTCAGAGATGACACACTTCCTTTTTGTCCTCCAGTGTGAGTGCATAGTCTGTCTGGAATCATCTTTCATTCCTGGTAGTTTTGGCACCTAGTTCACTGTCCTCTTTGTTACTCCTGCTGCTGTTGTCATCTGGTTTACTTCCAACTTGAAGTTCATAGCTGGGTTTGATGGTTCACGGCTGTAATCCTAGCATGTGGGAGGCTGAAGCAGGAGGATTGGGAATTTAAGGACAGCCTCAACTAGACAGTAAGTATGGAATCAGCCTTGGCTACAGGAGACCATGTCTCAAAAGCAAAGCAAACAAAGCCAACCAAAAACTCCCCTTTAAGTTCATGTAGAATGCTCGCCGGCTCTCTACAGCCCGACCTTACTTCACACAAACACTTCCTTCACGTCACTCTAGTTACCACTTACTCAGTTGTAGCCATTTTCCAAGTCCTAGATCTTCTCAATCTGGGCTCTAGCTACCCCACATCTGCTGCCCTTTAACTCGTTTACCCCACACAGCCAGCAACGCAGTAAGGATGTCAACCCTGAAAAGTGCCCTCCAAACAAAACTGCAGGCCTGGCCCAAACTGGGATTTTAGAACCTTGTACAACTCTAGCAGAGAAACTACTAACTCTATGTTCAAATAACCCACCAGACTGAGAGGCGCTTATGTGATCTTTAAGTCAAAAAGTTTAAACCATCATAACAGCTATAGAAAATTAGAAAAATCTTGGAAGGAACCACTCTTAGGAACGTAGAAGGACAAAATATTTTTGAAAAATGCCATAATGGAACTTAATAGTTTGTATGTGGATTTAAAATGTGAGCAGGCCTGGAGACGGCTCAGCACGTGACGGTACTTGCTGCCAAGCCTGATGACTTAAGTTGGATCCTTGGGCCCCATGCAGCCAGAGAAGAGAACCAGCTCCTGCAATGTTGTTCCTGACCTCCATACGTGTACACCACATTGCGTGCATATATGAACACACATATATTCAGGACCAACATAAATGTAACTAAAATTGTTAAAAATCTATCTGAAGCAGGGCAGCGATAGCAACCTTTAAGCCCAGCATTCTGGAAGCAGAGGCAGGCAGAACTCTGAGTTTGAGGCCAGCCTGGTTCATACAATGAGTCCCAGGAGAGTGAGAACTGTTACACAGAGAAGCCCTGTCCCAAAAGACAACCCACCTCCACTCCAAAAAAAAAAAAATCTAAGTGAAATCTTCAAGGACATGAAAGGAAAACTGTATGCTCATGTAACTGAGTAAGCTTCTCACTCCATCAGTAACAGCCAGCCAGCGCTTTGTTCTAGGCATCTTCCAAGACACTGTACCTCCTTTGCATCCACACCCAGGGGACGATTGCTATCTGCACTGCACAGACGAAATAACTGCTCGTGTGAGGCCACAGAATTACAAAGAAGCAGAGCTGGGATCCAACCAAGACCCGATCTTGTTTCTAAAACCCATACTCAGAGCCACCAAATTACAGTACTTCTCTACACCAAGGCTACAATGTTTAGTCCCTGTAGTAAAACAGCCCATTAACCTACAGGTAACGTAAGGGATTCATGGGGAAAAAGTGGCCATCTTTCAAGTGAGAATTTCCTCGATGAAGGCAACTCTATCCATAAAGTAAGCTGAGATGGCCCAGTGATTGAGAGCACTGGCTGCTCTTACAGAGGACTGGGTTCCCGCCCCAACACCCACATGGTGGCTCATAACTTTTTGTTACTCCAGTTATAGAAATCTAGACATCCTCTCTGGCCTCTGAGGGCTCCAGACATGCCTGTGGTACTTAGACATACATGCCGGCAAATAGTCATACACATAAATTAAAAATTAATTAATCTTTTTATTTTTTAAAAAGCACAAAATGGCTTCTGGGTACTTTTTCTTGATTAAATACACTCTAGTCCCAGTGTCTCCACTGTTCCCTGAAAAACGGCATGTTAAGTCACCATCAGCTCCCAGTCCTTGAGCCAATAGTTAATGGCCGGTTTTCGTTTTCCAGTACCTCTGGGCAGCATACCCACGTGACCCCTTCCTTCAAGTCTAGGCATCATACCACCCCGGCGCTCCTCCTGCCTGTCTGGCCATGCCTGCATGTCTCTCCTGCCCACTTGATTTCTAGGTGCTGACCTTGAAATCCAAGTCCCGCCTTCTTCTACATTTACATGCATCTTTGCAGGTAAGTAAGTGCACCTGGCCACGTGGCTTTCCTTACTCCTACACGTGGACCAATTTCTATCCACCAAGGAGCCTCTAAGTTATTTTATTTCTAAATTATTTTGTCTGCCTTCTCAATGCTGGAGGAAGTATGTTACTGGGGGTGAGCCTTGAGGTTTCAGAAGTCCATGCCAAGCCGCTGTCTGTCTTTTCTTCCCACGTGCGGATACAAAGCTAGAGCTCCCAGCTACCTCTCCAGTAGTCTGCCCACATGTCTCCATGCTCTCTGCTGGGACGACCAGAGACTAAAACTCTGAAACTGAAAGCGAGCCCCAGCTAAAGGCTTTCTTTTCTAAGAGCTGCTGTGGCCATGGTGTCTCTTCACAGCAAGAGAACACCGACTAAGACAAAATCTTTTTGGTTTGGAACCTTGAGAAGTCAACCCAGACAAACTGTTGGGTTAATTGCAGTAGCCTGGAGTCTAGCGCCAAGAAGACTGGGATCAAGCCAGGATGGAGTAAGTTAAGAGTCAAACCATCCTAAATACACATGGGAACTCCATTCTCCCATCCCCTTTATTTATTTATTTATTTATTTATTTATTTATTTATTTATTTTTTTAACAGGGTCTCACTCTGCACTGAGTGAGTGGCCTCGGCTGGCCAGGAACTCTGTGTCTCACCACCATCCACATGCCCCTGCCTCTGGGGCCCGAGGTGTGGAAGCCAGACTGACCTAGCTTTACCTCTTACTTAGCACCACATTCGGATACGCTGTCGTAGGGTTCTTCTGCTGTTCTAAGCTCCATTAATCGTCCCCCAGGTTGTCTCAGAGCTTCTCCCTCTGCCTCTGCAAAATTTCCCTTTCTTAGTCAGTTAACTCAACTATGGTGTTAAAAAATAGAGAACTTAGCTTCAACTGATAGACTTTACAATACGGAGAACGAACCTTTCACCACTCCTGGGCATCTGGAGACATTTAAAAGCGAATGTGTACTGAATTCATCAATCTAACTGGTAAAACTTGGAGCATTAGGACAGGGACATGGAAAGTAGAAGATCATTTTTCCCATGGTAAAATAACTATCAAACAGTCTTCTGAATGCAGTAGGCATCAACAATATCTGTTAAAGGAGTTGTGAGGTAAAAGCAGTAATGTCAAGGCAATTTCTTAGTCTTCCTTTGGGTCAACTCCCGTTATGTTTTTCTTTTCCCCCATGAAGTAAAAGCTGTTTTCTTAATGGCTTATTTAGTATCAGAAAGGTAGCAAGCATACACATCTCTCTCTTCCACCAAAGGTATTTAAGAGAGGAAAAAAAGCAGGCCAAAAAGCCACATTTTTTTTTTATAGGGTGTAAACAGGTTTTGAGGATTCCCTGCTTCTTTTAGATAACAAATTCTCCAAAGCTAGCCTAGGCTACAAAACAAGATGCTACCCCCCCCAAAAAAAAGGAACAAATTAAAATTTTCACTAACAGCAGGATATGCCACATACAACGTAGGATAGCATATATATATATATGTCACAATGTAGAATAATTGTTATATATTTATTATATGTTACATATATACACACATATATACATACAAACACACATCTAAAATTCTGAATGCTGCTAGTTGAGAAAGAAGAGACTTCCCAAATGGAGGCATGAAAGGAAAATGGTAGGCAGGACAGGTACCCAATATTAAGTTACCAGAATCTACTCAGAGACCCCCCATTAAGCCATATACTGTGGGCTTTAATCACACAGATCTATCTAAGTCTAGAGCTGAACCAATTAAGGCCCCAGGTGATTCTGAGTGGGCTAGCAGACTGTTGTAAAGTTTGAGTTTGGCCCCAAACAAAGGCAGGTGACCCATACTAAAAGAAGAAGAATTAAGAGCAAGAATAATAAAGAACAGATTGTAGGGGCTTAAGTGATTTAATGAATACTGACAGTGAAGGATGGTCTAAAACCAAAGGATAATAGATGTGCTTTGTGTAGAGTGTGTTGTGGGCATTTGCAAGAGCTCTCCAGAGATATTCACTGAAGAGTCTAGGGCGGGGCTTCTTAAGCAGTTTCCACTCACAATCCTTTTCTGCCCAAGTTTTGCAAAACCCAGGTATAGTGGTACACAAAGTAGGTATACAAATCACTTCTTGATAAATCATAACTCTATTTTAAAATAATTCTTTGGGGGCTGAAGAAGTGGCTTAGAGCTAAGAGCACTGGCTGCTTTTCCAGCGGTCCTGAGTTCAAGTCCCAGCACCCACAAGGCAGCTCTCAACTATCTAGAACTAGTAATGCCATGGGATCTGTAGAAGAATTTTAATTCAGAACATGGCTGCTCTGGCAAGAGATCACATCCAAAGACCTTCTAGATCTGTGTGATCTGGCTAGGATACAAACACGCCATTAATCCAGGAGACAGAGGTAAGCAGACCTGAGATCAAGGCCGAGCAAGTTTCAGGTGAGGAAAAGCTTAGGTGGAGGTGTGGTGGTACATGCCTTTAATCCCAAACAATGAAGGTAAAGTGAGTTTCTAGAAGGGAAAACCCATGATTGAAAGTGATGTCTGTTTGAGTGGCAGAAAGAGTGATGAACCAGACAAAGACTTGACAAAATAGGATATGCCCAACTTTCACAAGAGGAGAGTAAAGGAAAGAGCTACTTAAGGGGCAATACACACACACAGAGACACAAAGAGAAGGCAGTTTTATTGGGAGAAGTTTTAGAGAGAGGTTGAATGAGAGTACAAGCTAAACCAGGCACAGTAGTGCATGCCAGCACTGAGAGAGGTAGACAGGCAGATCGCTGTGAGTTCAAGGCCAGACTGGTCTACAAGGTGAGTCCAGGACAGCCAAGGCAACATAGAAAGACCAAAAAAAAAAAAAAAAAAAGTATAAGCTAGACACAGGAGAACACAGAATGAGCCAGATAAGGAGCCAGAGGATTAGAAGACATTGCTGGCAGGCTGGAGAGATGATTCAGCAGTTAAAAGCACTGACTACTCTTCCAGAGGACCTGGGTTCAATTCCCAGCACCCACATGGCAGCTCACAACTCTATGTAACTCCTTCACACGGACAGACATGCAGGCAAAACACCAATGTACATAAAATAAAAATAAATAAATTATTTAAAAGAAAAAGAAGAGGAGGAAGAAGACATTGTTGGAGTTAGTTTGACACCAAGCAGAGCAATTCAGAGGCTGAGAGAAAAGCCAGTTTGAATAAATCAACTGGGTGAGGAGTTTGAGCCAGAACAGCTGAGTTGAACCAGCCAGCCCACGGCTCAGTAAGAACAAGAAAGGGTGAGCTTATTAAGCAGTAATCTGAAGACATTCTAGGCCAAAGTTAGATTGTATAGACACTAGAAGCTCCTAGGACTAGGCCTGGGTTAGCAGACAACTGAAACGGGCGCATAAACGTTCCTTTTATGGGATCTGATATTTGATCCCCTCTTGTGGTGTGCAGACGTACAAGCAGACAAAATACATACAAAATAAATTAATAGTTATTTTAAAAATTCTTTGGTATATATAACTTTATAATCTATTAAAGATGAAAGTAAATTTGCATACCAATAAATGCATATACTTGCTTACTCTTTCTTTCTTTCTTTTTTTTTTTTTTTTTGACATGGTTTCTCTGGGTAGCCTTGGCTCTCCTGGACTCGCTTTGTAGACCAGGCTGGCTTTAAACTCGCAGAGATCTGCCTGCCTCTGCCTCCCAGAGCGCTGGGCCATTACAGGCGTGTGCCACTGTGACAGGCTGCTTGCTTACTTTTAAATAATTAAATCTTGGCTATAGGATATAGGCTGCTTCAATGTTTTTATTTTACCAATATTTTGATTTGCTAATTATCAGTCTGAGGACATTTTGCATAAATGTGTTGTGCAAAATGGCAGGAGCATGCTTAGAATCATATCAGAAACAGCCGAATAAACTCACGTCAAATTTAATGATTTTTAAGTGAAGCTTAAGTCAGTAACTCAAACAGCCATTTTTCGAATCAAGCATCTCAACACAATAAAATCCAAAGATAACACAAATTTCATACTGAGGGTATTACAAGCTGAGTTACAATTTAGGAAAGTATTAAAGGTTTAATATGTTCTGCAATTAAACAACTATGTTTCTATAAGATTAGAGAAGTTGCACATAACGGTTAAAAAAAAAAAAAAAACAACCCACCAACCAACCAACCCACCAACCAACCCCTGAAATTCCTAACCCAATAGTGTCGATTCTGAGTTGAGGTATTTCAGGCAGCATCAGCTGGTCAGGGCACGCAGCGTTCTGAACCTCGCTGCAGGAGGGAGCATCACTGAGCGCTGTCAGGAACACCTTGGATTCACAACGCACTCAATTTTGAATTAACTCTGGCCACTGTCTCTCACAAACACCTTTGAACTACATTTGGGGCTGTGACCTACAGCTTAAGCAGGGGTTCAAACACGGTGTTCAGGAGTTAAGGCAATGGTAGTCATCCTAGTTACTTGGCAGTCACGGAAGGTACGGAGCGCAGTTTTTGTTTTGTTTTGTTTTGTTTTTAGCGTGCTACAAAATAGGCCCCGCCCCTAAGCGAGCACAGCTGCGGCAGGGTTGAAAAGGCCAGTCTGAAAAACCTTCCCCAAATGCGAGGAAGGGATTTAATCCCACCCCACGGCTCAGAAGTTCAAGCACTTCTACTGACGTCCTCGCTCCTGAGAATGGGTATGGGGTTGGGGGGCGGGAGATGTACTTAAGAGCCATAGGTTCAAATCCCCCTTCCCGCTCAAGAACCTAGGCCACCAGGCGGGCGTGACCCGGGACGACCTTGACCTCGGAGTCCTCCAGGGTCTCCGTCCTCCCGGGTCCCCTCCGGGCCACGTCCACTCACTTCTCGGAGAGTCCGGCCCAGCATAGTCCTCGGAGTCAGCCAGGTATCACAGGAGCGCGGGGCAGAGGAAGAAGTCAGCGTCTGCCGCCGGCGTTACATGGGCGCAGACATCTTGGATTCGCACGAGCCTCTTCAACAACGAGAGCCTGGATTGGTCGAGCTCCAGGGGGCGGGAACCAATCCTGCACGCGATTGGTTGGGGCTCCGGCGGCCGAACCGGCAAGGAGACCGCGGCCGGGGTCACGTCTGGGATCGAAGGCTACAGTCGGCCTGGCCTCGGCGTTGCAAATGCAGTTTGTTCGTGCGGCCGAGGGCTCCCTGCTCGTTTGGTTTTTCCCTTGAGGGGAAGGAGAGTGCAAAGAAGGGAGAGACAATGGACAGAGGACCGGCTGGACGTCAGCTGGAGCCTTGAGGTGGGGAGCACAGCAGCACCTCTGTGTTCTTCGGTTGCTTCCTTCGGGGGAGTTCGTTTCTGAAAGCTCCTCCCCTCTCAATTGACCACTGGGTCTGGCAGAAGTTGGCCGAACTGAAGTGTGTCCGCTTGACCCGCTCCGGCGGTTTCCTTTTCGCTGGGAGGACACGGCCCCATCTCTGTTCGGGATGGAAGTTTTGAAGACTCGTGCACTGAGAAGAAGTGCCTGTGCCGCCGCCCGCTTCTGGAGAAGCAAAGTTATCCCACAGCCGCCTTGTAGAGACCTTAGTACTACGCCTGCGCGGAGCACTGTCATGCCCGCTTGGGTGATAGATAAATACGGAAAGAATGAAGTCCTCCGGTTCACTCAGAACATGATGTTACCGATCATACACTATCCGAACGAAGTCATTGTCAAAGTCCATGCTGCCAGTGTAAATCCTATAGATGTGAATATGAGAAGTAAGTTGCCCTGAATTTTTTTCTTTCAGTCAAAATCTCGTTAGGCGTGCAGGTGTTTGGTTTGCGTGGTTTTGCTTGGTTTTGGTTTGAAACAAGGGCTCGCTGTCCAGCCCAGGTAGCCCTCAAATTCATTTCATACCCCACACTAGTGTCTGCTCTGCAGCCCTTCTTGTCCGGCCTCTCCAGTCCTGGGATAGCAGGGGTAGGCCACCACACACAGCTAGATTATTTGACTACGTTTTGGCTGGCATAAAGGAATTATTTAGGTTTAGTACATTATTTTGTGTTTCGGTGTGTTTGACAGTGCACAAGCAGAGGTCAACTGACATCTGTGTAGCCTTGGCTGGAACTCACTCTGTAGACCAGGCTGGCCTTGAACTCACAGAGATCTGTCTGCCTCTGCCTCTCAGGTGCTGGGATCAAAGGTATACACCATCATTGCCTGGCTACACATTTTACTTTTATAGGGTACTTTTGAGATGATCTAGTAACTTACTACATGACTGGCTAATACTATTTACAGGTTTTCTTTCAGTTAGTTCATGGACGCTTTTTGAGACAGCATTATTGTTGCAGAAGATACCTGAAATGCTTGCTTTGGGAAATATTTGAGTAAAAATTAATTATTTCCCTTGAGAAAAAAAAAAAAAACAAAACAAGAGACACATCTATTTTGACAGATAAAGGCTGTTTTTCTGAAAATAGCTGCTACTGTTAGACATATAATAATAAATCATAAAAATGGCTAAATTGATGAATTATTTTAAAATAATATAGCCAACAGCATATACAACAAATTTTGGTTTCTTTGGGTATGAAAATCTCTGCAATTGATGAAATCTTGAGGATTTTCTAAATTAGCCCAACCCTGAAGGTGCTCCTGTCTTTTTGTGAAGAGTCCCTTATGGTAGGGCTGGCCTCAGACTCTGTGTAGCTGAGGTCTTGAACTCCGGATCCTCATGCCCCTGTTCCACAAGTGTAGGATTTGAGCTGTGTGTGTGTGTGTGTGTGTGTGTGTGTGTCACCACCCCCAGCTAGGATGACAAGCTTAAACCCCATTTTGTCACCAAACAGGTTCCGATTCTCACTACAAACTGGCTGCATTCTGGGTGCTAGGCCTAGCTCTTCTTGCCATGTTAGCATATTAGGGTTATTCAGAAAACTGTTGAAAACAACCTGAATGGTTGTCTTGGGACCTCAGAAAGCCTTTTTGCAACTTTACAACTAAATTGTGACAGGGTTGAATATTTACTTTTGTTGCTCAAACCACAAAGGGTTTCAGTGAGTAAACTGCTGTGTCTTCACAGGGGGAAATAAATACAAGACAGGAAAAATTGGTGTGCATGCTTTATGAGTGAGTCTCAGATGAGCTGCTGTTGTGTCCTGTGATGGAGTGCGGTTCTAGCTAGCCAGATGGCAAATATGGAATGTTGGCATGGACCACCAGCTTAAGAGTTTTCTGGGACTATCTCAACTTTTATTTTCTCCCATGTATCTTGTTTATTTTCTTTTTCATTGGGAAAACAATGTCTGCAGACTGCCCACCTGTGAGCACCTCTCCTCTGATTTCCGCTGTGCTGGGTAGATTGGCACTGCCCCCCTCTAAGGCCAACCTTCCGCCTGTCTTCTTGATCCCATCCTCACTCACCTACTCTGGGCTATCTTCCTGTATTTTTTTTTTTTCTCTTGTACTGGATCATTCACACAAGCTACTATTTTGGGATTATTACTTATTTCTTCTGCCACTGTCTGTGTTGTTATACTTGGTTTGTTTAGAGTCCATTAGCTGCCTGTGATCTTACTTGAAATCAGCATTAAATAGTTTCAAGGGCCTTCCCTTGGTTTTCAGAACTACTCAGGAGTAGCTAGGCCCAGCTGTTACTTGGTATTGTTTTTGCAGATAGAGTAGTTAATTTATTTGAGCCAAAAGAATGGTTTCAATTTTATTTATATGTTATCTGTGTAAATACCTTTAAAAACAAGATGTAGGCCTGCAAGTGGTACTATATACTTATAGTCCTAAAACTGGAGAGGCAGAGGCAAATGGATCTCTATGAGGCCAGCTTTGTCTAAGTTCAGGACAACCAAGGCTACATAGTGAGACTGTCTCAAAAACAAAAACAAACAAAACCTATGTGCCTCCCCCCATCCCAGGTATGATGCATTGACCTCATCAAACATGGCTCTTTTCCACTAAAATTCTTTGCACTTTCTCAGAATCATTATTCCGGGTAGCTTTTTAGAAGATGGGGTCTAGAACTCGGAACCGAGTGCTAGTGTCAGGTGCTTTAATATGGATGAGTTCTTTAATAACCCGAGCATTTTCTTCTTTACCAGACTTAGTACTAAATGTCTTTGCTTTTAAAAGATTTTTATGCAAGCATGGTGGCACATATCTGTAATCCTATCATTCAGGCTGAGACAGGAGGATGATGGTTAAGGCCAGCCTGGGCTACATAGCAAGACCCTGTCTAAAAACTTAAAAGGTTTGCAAATGAGTAAATTAATAGTGATGCCATCTTCAAAGAGCAATGTATGTAAAAGAGGATTCTACAATTCCAGAAGACAGTTTTGCGATCTGAGTTTCAAGAAGACTTTGAGCAATTGTGGTTTTAGTTTACTAACTGTGGCTTTCTAAGTAATCTTCTTTGAAAGAAACAGCAGCCAGTTTTTCTGTACTGTGTGGTGGCAAAACTAAAGTTTGTTGTGTTATTAGGGTCTGCATGTTGAGCGTCTGACATCAGCCTGCCTGTAATCTTAAAGTATTTTGAAAATCATTCTGATCTTTTCCTTTAAGACGCAGATAAATTGTATTTTGTAGGTGGTTATGGAGCAACAGCTCTAAATATGAAGCGTGATCCTTTACATATGAGAACAAAAGGAGAAGAATTTCCTCTGACTCTGGGTCGGGATGTTTCTGGCGTGGTGATGGAGTGTGGGCTTGATGTCAAGTACTTCCAGCCTGGAGATGAGGTGAGTTTATTTTTTCCTTACTGTCTCCTCTCTCTTCCCCTTCCCTCTCCTCTCCTCCATGCTCTTCTCTTTCTTTGCTTTCTTGCTTTTGTTTTTTTTTTTTTGTTTTGTTTTGTTTTTGTTTTTGTTTTGAGACTAGCTTTTATGTAACCAGGCTGGTCTCAACTTGGTAGATAGGTATCTTAGTTACAGATCTATTGCCCTGAAGAGACACCATGACCAAGGCTACTCTTACATTAGGAAACATTTAATAGGGAGCTGGCCTACAGTTTCAAAGGGTGAGTCCATTATCATCGTGGGTGGAAGCATGGCGGCATGCAGGCAGACATGGTGCTGGAGAAGTAGCTGGAGGCTTTATATACTGATCCAAGAGGCACTGGGCTGGCCTAGCATGGGTTTTTGACCTCAGTGACACACCTCCAACAAGGACATATCTACTCCAAAAAAGCCACACCTTCTAGTCCTCCCCAAACAGTTCATCATCTGGGGACTAAGCACTCAAATATACGAGCCTATGGGGGCCATTCTCCTTCGAACCACCATAGTGAAGATGTTCTTGAACTTAAGCCTCCTAAATGGCAGGCTTCCTGGCTTGTGTCCCTATGTACAGCTCTCTTACTCTTCCATTCTTTTTTTAAATATGCAACTTCCATTTTATTTTTCTTAATTTTAAGTGAATTTTAGAGTGGGTATAGCTGCTTTGTAGCCAAGGATGGCTTTGTGCTCTATTATTTCTGGTCCACCTGCCAAGTTCCAGGATTGCAGGTGTGAGCCACCAGGCTCCTTCTACTTCCTTTGGAAATAGACTATTAACCACTGACTGTTTTTCTTTTCAGTACTTGTACTGACTGACCTTTAGCCAGAACACTTGTTTTGTGGTTTGGATTTTTTTTTTCTTTTTTTCTTTTTTTTTTTTTTTTTTTTGAGACAGGGTGTTATTGGCTTGGAACACACTATGTAGCCCAGCCTTGTCTTGAACTTGTAGACATGTCTTGGCTTCCTTAGGACTACAGTTATAGCACTAAGGATTATGCTCCAGCTTATACTTGAGTTTTCTAAATTTAGTACTTAAGAATTATAAGACTTTAAAACACATAGGATTAGGCCTACTTAGTTTATTTTGCTAGAGTCTTTATAAGACAGTTTCTACCTTATGGGTTAGCTGGTTTTGAAATAGCTAAAGTCCCGTATAATCTTCTGTCACTTGTCACTTTGGATGCTTATGTCAAAAGATATGAGTGAGTTCATAATAATAGCCATGTTCTGGTTCCTTTCCACAGAGAAGGTAATCCCTGTAAATTAGCA